TTTATCTGAAATAAAAAGCTTTTGTAACATTATACACTATACCATTCAAAAGTCAGATTTTTTATTTTTTGGGGGGAAAGAAATTACAGAAATTTATAATTTTATTTAACAAGGATGCTTTCAATTGATCAAAAGTAATGATAAAGACAAAATATTTCAAAAGATGTCTATTTCAGATCAATTCTGTTCTTCTGAACTTTCTATTCATCAAAGAAATAATGTCTTTTGAGCAGCATATCAGAATGATTTCTGAATGATCGTGATTGGAGTAATGATGCTAAAAAAAATCACCTTTGAAATCACAGGATAAATTACATTCAAATAGAAAAAAGTTATTTTAAATAGTACAAATATTTCAAAATGTTACTGTTTTTGCTGTATTTTGGATCAAATAAATGCAGGCTTAGTGAACAGAAGAGAATTCTTAAAAAAAAAAAAAACTTTAAAAATCTTACTGGTCAAAAACTTAACTGGTAGTGTATGTTTAACAAAAGATCATCGGTCTGAGCAGTTGAATGATCAGATAAACAGTTCTTCATATGCAGTACACATACATAGGCTACACAGAAAGATTGCTTGCTCTGATAGATTATTCACAGAATATGGTATGGACCTTTAGGACAATTTGACAATTTGATATGAATATGTCCAGCTCCTCCAGATACTCAAACATGAATAAAAAAACATCTCTTGCTCCATCCGATTCTCCCCCCAGGTAGTCTTTGATGGCATTCTGTTGATTTTTACCCTCTTACCCTCCAAAGGCAGGCCCTTTCACCTCCCCACGGAATAACTGACGGTGACTCTGTACCACGCTGGACCAATGCCCCTATGCCCCTTCCAATTTATGTCCTCTTGGCGCTCCTGTTAAAAACAGAGAATGCAAACGTATTGGGGGGTATATGTGTCCACTGAAAAGTATTTACCTCATCATTTACCTCTACGTTCTACATACAAGAATATTTATTATTTTAAACCACAAAAATCAATCAATATCTAGAGAAAACGTCCCCTTGGAATTATGAGGTTCTATCTGACATTTTTGTCAAAATTGAGTTATTCACATATTCTTATTCTGTGACAACTTATTTACATTATGTGATAGATTCTGTAATGTTGTGTACATTTTGGGACTTTTTATTTAAAAAACAAAAAGGTTCTATCTACACAGTTGAATGGAATGCAAAAACTTTGAAGCTCAATATCTCAAAACTACTCAGAATGCAGATAGAACCTTATAATTCCAAGGCGACGAAATGCTCTCACCATACCTCCACGCACCACTGCATGGCTTATGTGGTCCTCCAAGTGAATTGTAATGAGTCATTTTCTTTTCTGATGAAACTGCAGTAGGGACCCCTCATCCCGGCAGAACTGCTCTGCATCAGGCTTGGACTGAAAATGCGTAAAATGCTGTAAAACATGACTAACATTGTGATCTTTCCATTAATATAGAAGGATACAAAGATAATTTGTGACATACATGGAGTTATCCAGCAAGACAGTGAAATAATGTAGTTGCTCAACCAAGTTACTGTGAAGGGTACTGTGATCAGTGTATATCATTAAAGATGTCATATGTATGTGAGTGAGTGTTATGTGTGAGAGGGATGAAGTGTGTGTGTGTAAGTGGGTGAGATGAGTGTTATGTGTGTGTGTGTGTGTGTGTGTGTGTGTGTGTGTGTGAGAGTGTTAAGTGTGTGAGTGTTAAGTGTGTGTGTGTGTGTGTGTGTGTGTGTGTGTGTGTGTGTGTGTGTGTGTGGGTGTTATGGTGTGAGTGTGTGTG